TTTAAGTCAGTGTGACGTAGAGTACAGTTTGGTTCTATGCGCTGGATGAGATCTTTAAGGTCACCACAGAAGGAGCACGTGAGACTGCTAGTACTGGAAGTTGGTGATGATAATAATAAAGGAGATGAATTCTGTTGAAAGAGAAAGAGAAAGAAAAGTAAAGTGACATACATAGACACCTTTTAAATATACACATAACTATCATTCCTGTACACATTTTGCTATTAAGTATCTCTACATGCAAGTATATTAGAATATACTGCAATGTTTGGAGCCTAATACTGCCCATGCTCGTTAATATATAAAAATTATAATTCCATAGCTTGCCTTTAATCCAGTTAGTAGTCCTATTATTTCATTGTTTCCTTGGGACAATGCTAGGTCCATTGGTGTCCTTCCTTCTTTATTGCGTACGTTTATTCTGCAGTCATTACTCATTAAGATCTGAACAATTTCACGGTGGCCATTAGAAGCTGCATAATGCAATGCAGTGTTACCATACTATAATAGGAAGAAAGAGAGCATATTAAAATAGTGTTGTTAATACTAAAATTACATGTAATTTTACTTAATGACACATGCCAAAAAAAACTTAAAAATTTAACTATTATAGCAAAATTTTAATTTCTTACTTCATCCTGCATGTCAATTGGAGCCCCAGAGTCCAGTAGCTCTAAAGCTATGCCAGTATAGCCTCTTTTAGCTGCAAGATGAAGTGGTCCCTCTCCATTGAGTGTTGCCACTGATACTGCAGCTTTCCCAATCAGAAGCTCATGGACTATATCTTCCTTTTCGTTCCACACAGCAAGATGAAGTGGAGACCAGCCATCCTGAAAATGAAAAAAAAAACCAGTAATCATTTGCATAAAACTATAATGTCTCTATTATCATATTTTCTTAAAGCTGATATTTCTTAAGGCTATTCTCTATTTCTTACCTTTCTCTGTATATTAGGATCACATTTAGCTAATAGCAGCTCCTTAATGACTGCATGGTGTCCCTGGAGAGCAGCACAATGGAGTGGATTAGAACCACTCTTATCAGTTGCATTAACATTGCAGGTCTTCCTCTCTGATAGCTGGGCTACTGTGGATGAATGGCCATTCCATGAAGCCCAATGCAATGGAGTCCAGCCATACTGTAAAGAAAAGAAACAGATCAATAATAAATAAAGTATCAAATGATGATGTATAGTCATCTTACTTTGTCTCCAGCATTGATTTTCACTTTCCCAGTTGACAGTAAATACTGTGTCACATTATTGTGCCCCTTTCTGGCAGCTTTATGCAATGCAGTAAGTCCATTCTATAAATTAGAATTAAAAAAAGATAATAATAATGTAAGAATAAATACATTATCTTCCTTACTTGATCTCTGGTGATGAGAGCTCCAGCTTTCATGAGGACCTTGACCTCGTCCAAATTCCCTCTGTCTGCAGCTAGCCTCAGTGACTTCTCCATTACTGCATTTCCTAGTCCTTTCTTGGTTGCAGTCAGCCCATTGTTCAGAAATAGTTTAGTTGCTGTATCCATTTCTTCTTTGATGAAATTAGTCTAGTGTGTGATGCTTTTTACTGTTGCTTATAGCTGGTTATTTCTCTTTGCAGTTAGCACTTGAATAAAACTGAGCTAAAACACTTATTTTTATAGTAACAAGGCTAAGGAAGAGGAGGAGTTAGAGCAAAATGACATGAGATGCAATATTACAGTATTCGTTATAATAAAATTATAAGTGACAGTGAGAAGTTCATCATATGATACTATATTAGGGCAAGTGATTTTACGGTTGAACAGTTTGCAAGTCTTTGAGCATGTTTGATCTGTACTTTAGTTCCAATTGACTCATGAAGGAAAGAGATTGTTTGGTTGTAAATCCTCTTAATGGCTCTTCCTATAAGGAGTCCAGCTGGTTGAAAGTATTCAAGTTCATTGTTTACCTTTAAAAATATTAGTAGTGTGTGTTCCTGACATGATTTTAATATGCTAGCCTCCAAATGCTTAAAAATAGCAACACAGAAATATACCTAAAAGAGATGCATTGTAATTACATGTACAATTATTCTACAACAACCGCAACTTTTAATTGAAGTCTATACTGAAATTTACAACTTTAGAATCTAGTATCAGGTAATGGTAAGGAAATATACTGCAAGTTCTATTCTATACTAGAGCTAGTGAATGTACAATCAATCTAGACTCCCCCACATATTTAAAATTCAAACCATTTCTGCAGCAATGGAGAGAAAGTGAGAGGACTTACCAGCCTCAAATTCCTACCATGCTTACTTTCGTGTTTCAAATGCACTTTATATAAGGTATGAAATAATGCAGCAGTTACTCATGTAACGTCTATGAATGTTAACAACCCTAAACTCTAGTCTAACTTTACTGCCAGATGCATGTGGATGATTCAATAGTGCTATAAATGTCTGAATGCTGGAGGCATTCCATGCATGTATTTCATCCTTTTATCTCCACTCCTTATCAGATAAAGAAAGTAAAGAATCCTTTCTTCTCCTCAACTCAAT